TTATACACATATATTCTTAATTTTCTCCCATCTTAATCATATGGTGACGTCATTAAAAAAGTGTAGTCACACTACTAATAAAAATCTAGCTTTGGTCTACCAAGTCCCATTTAAACTAAAAAAATCAGTAATTTGCTAAGATGCTAAAACTATGATACTAATGCAAAAAGCAGTGATGTGAGACGGAAATAGAGGAACATCAAACTCAAAAACCCTCGTTTTCGATCCGACCCAGAACGGGGAGACGAGCAGCTGCACTTGGATGACGAGGGTACTGTGGGACCGGAAGATACCAGAAGCAGAGGCAAGCCGGGCTCGCAGGGTCAGCATGGGTGGCGGAATGAACCGGAACATCGGCTCAGCCCAAGCGCCGAAACCCTTCAGATTCATTAAGCCGCGAAACGGCCGATGCTGCTCAGTGCCATCTAAGCGCGGAGATGTGAGAAGATGCTGGGCTATATTTATGTTTCTGTCCTCCTGCAGGACCTCGTTACGGGGGGGCACGTACGGGAGCTCTTGTGGTCCTTCCTGTGCAGCTTGCGCCGCATGGTGTTGGTTCGGGGGCTGTTGGGAGGCATGGAGCGGGGAAGGGTTCCCAGACTCAGGGAGCTCAGGCTGTAGGCGCTCATGGAGGATGGCGAGAAGGTGGAGCTCAGGGCTGGGGGGGGGGGGAGACAGAGGGAGAAGAAGGCTTGCATGAGGGGAGGGGTCCAGTCTACACCTTCTACTGAACCTACAGGATTCTCGCACTTCAACCCACAAGCTAGATTACTGATGGGAATAGGGAAGAGAATTTTATAATGGATCTATATTGACCTGGTGCACTCCTCCATGGTCGACATGGAGACATTTCCATAGGACACCAGCTGACTGTGTCCATTACTGACTGTAGACCAAGCAGCAAGTCTGAAGAGTCAAATCACCGGTATCATGAGAGGTTCCACTACATCAACAGAATGAATCGGTATTCTCTACAACAGACTAAGCGGACAAAACAGACGTCTCAAGATGCCTGCCCTGTCCTTTCAGACATCACCCCCGGCATCACACGGGCCCCAGCGGCTCAGACAGACGCGAGGCTGTGACACTCTCCGCATCCCGTACTCTGACGTGATGAAAACGCTTGCAGGATTTCAGATGTAACACTCAAACAAGGGACCGTTTTCAAATTGAGGTAAGAACACGAAATAACAGCTGCCACTCAGGTCGGCATATTTACTGAATGAACGGGAGTCAGGGGGAAAAACAGAAGCACTAGTCCCATCTTCAGGACCACCTCAACAAGGCTACCCCAGCGGGATCAACACAACAGCCCGATTCTAACAAAACAGAACCACTTAGAAGAGGCCTAACCCAACAGAACTACATGGGTAAGACTATGATAAACAGCCTAAAAGCAGTAACCAAAAATACACCAGGACAGGACTATCCCAACCTGGCAATCTCTGTGGACAGCCCCTTCCTGTGGAGCAAGTTCCTCCAAGGAACATCACCTACCTTTGACTGGCCTCAGAAGAATTTACATCTGCTCTATCTGCACTTCAAGAAGCGGCATTCAAATCACAATCCAGACAAGATGGCGAGATGAAAAGCAAGGAGGATGATGACAATGAGGTAGAGGAATAACGTAAGGAGCATTACACGGGTTGTTGGAGGACTTGTGGTGTTTCGAGGCCTGGGTTCTTGACTGGTCAGGGTGGTAGGTGTTGTAGTGTGGGGGCAAGGTGTGCCCGTTGCTGCTGGGGCAGGTGTCCCAGGGAAGGGGACGGGCACTCCTCTGTACCTTGACTGTCCGGGTCGAGTCAGGGACAGCACCACCGCCGGGGAGGGAAAGACAGACATGGGTACAACCATAATAAACAACTTGGAAATGGCGACCTGAAAACAGCATAAGATGTCAGATTCTAAGAGGCACCTTGAGCACTGATGTCTGCCTGCCTATAGGACAGAGCCTCCCTGAGTCAGAGTGCAGAGGACGAACGGTGAAACTTCAGATACTGTCCGATTGATTGGCTTTATTTCAAGCCCTTGGAGAGCGTCTGTCCCTAAATAAACGGATGACTGTATCTGTGGTACCTACAGCCGTTGGAAGGGTGTCACGTGGGTTTGGATGAGACACCCGGCTGATATCGGCTGGGGGTCTGGACACCTTCTGCACTCTGATCTTCCAATTCTCTCGTTTTACAGCATGAGCTCGGAGTCTTAGGGTATCCAAGCATCCTCCTGTGGATTCTGAATAGCTTTGGACTTAGGCTGCCATTAATCTTTGGTTTAATTAATTACCTGCCTGCACCCTGAGGTATGTGGCTTATGAAAAGCTCCTGTGTGCTTGTGTCCATGGTCCTGCTGTGTCTGACCCCCCCCCCCCCCCCGGTCCAGTCTCACCATGCTCCGTGGTCTTGAGAGCCATCGGGGTCTGGTGATGAGGCAGAATCTCCATCTTGACGTTCTCGCAGGCATTTGCCAGTAGCTGGGTGGCCTCTGGCAGGGAGCAGTACTCCATGCTGGTGCCGTCGACAGACAGGATGTGGTCCCCAGCATGCAACGCCCCGCACCTGAACACCACATGACACTGCGTCTAGTCATACCGCTTAACCCACCAATCAGGAAAGGCCTCCCGTTCGGCCCATTCTTTAGACAGCAGCCAAGCGAACAAGACTAATGCAGCATTTCTGACTCAATGGCAACCACACAGCAAGTCCAGACGCCGTGCCCCACGCCGCCGGTTCATTACCTGTCCGCGATGCTGGCGGGCTTCACCTTGTCAATGACGATCACCTGCTTGTTGCAGTACATCGAGGTAGACAGCACTACCCCCAGGCTAGATCCCGCCGGTTTGGCCACCTCCACAAGCAGCGGGCCGGAGGCGGAGGCTATCGAGTCTGGGGTTGGGAATGAGATGGGGTGAGAGGCGCAGCGTGCCGTCGTCACACGGGGATTGCAAGTAGGTGACCCCACTGTCCCTCACCACCCATACTTTAGTGGGCAGCGTGGGACACAGCATGGACCGCGGAACCACGCCGACCACCAAGGACCGTGCAACTTTTGGAGCGTCGTTAAGAAAGCGGTGATGACCAATCACTGACCAATAAATGCCGCCGACAAATTATTTTATGCAAACTGAAAAGCCTTATTAATAAAAGCCTGAACTCATGTAGGGGCAGAAAGTAAGATCTGAGCTTTTCAAAAACAAGCAGATGAGTGGACATGACTTTATGTGCTACCCCCCCCCCCCCCCCCCCCGCTCATATATCCCAGCCTGGCCTCCCCACCTCCCAAGGCGACGGTAAAGCGCAACACCTGAATTCCCCCTGCATGACGCGGGCGGTACTTCAAACAGAGACACGCACAGCCTAACAGGACATCAAACAGACATGGATAATTCATCTGGCACTGAGATATGAAGCCTCAATTAGATATCAAACAGGGACATACCCTGCGAATACTTTAATCAAAGGTATACTGAGGCTAAGAGAGATACCAAACAGAGATGCAGAATTTATCCATTATGACACTGTTGATCCTTTAAGCGAAGTGATCTAGAGAGTAAATGAAATATCAAACAGGTTTAGTAATTTACCTAGTATGTTACTAGGAGTAGCTTCACCAGAGACACACAGAGACATAAAGAGACATCAAACTGAGATGTATAAATTTATCCATTATGATGCTGTTGATTCCATAACTGAACAGATACAGGGAGTAAATTAGACATCAAACAGGGGTGTGTATCTTACCTATCAAACAGGGGTGTGTATCTTACCTATCAAACAGGGGTGTGTATCTTACCTATCAAACAGGGGTGTGTATCTTACCTATCAAACAGGGGTGTGTATCTTACCTATCAAACAGGGGTGTGTATCTTACCTACCAAACAGGGGTGTGTATCTTACCTACCGCGCCACCAGAAGCAGCTTAAGCAGAGATATACGGAGGCAGCCATGGATATGAATACGGCTCAGACTGCAGACGCAGGTGCCTGAACCTATTTCACAGGTGGCCATGACCGACTCCTGGCGTACCTAGGCTTGGGTGGTATTTCATTTTCCATGCCGTCCAGGCATAATATCACGGTATACGGTATTTTGACGGTATTTTCAAAAGCAGCGCTATTCTGATAATTTGAAATCTTGCCGATAAAATTCACCACCATAAATGATCATTTCGCTTGGCTAATTGTGGCGCCAAGATTTCAAAGTGCCACGGAACGCCCAGAATCACCCCGTTATTCCCAAAATATAGCGATATACTGTATCACCTTAGTACCTCCCAAGCTAAAGCATGCCGCGGACATTTAGAGACAAGCTACTAGAGAAAGAGAGGCAGAGAGAGGAAGTGCGATTGAGGGGTAACAGTATGGAGGATGTGGAGACGAGAGAGGGGTGTTAATATCTGTCTCATAAGGGGAAGTTTAAAGGAAGGGGGCGGAGTCGGCAGACAGTCCAATAGGAGGTGCGGCTCGGTCGCCTGGGTAACGGGACTGCACGTACCCATGACAGAGACGTCGTACTCCACAAGCAGCGTGGCTTCCTGGCCACATTGCTTCAGGATGCTCAGGGCCTCGGCATGCGAGCAGCCCTGCAGGCGGATACCGTCGACGCTCAGCAGCCGGTCCCCAGGCCTGACGGTGCCTTCCCTGGAAGGAGAGCGCAGTGTGAGCCCCTGGAGAGCGGGGTGAGCCCCAGAAAAGCCAGTTTAAAGGCTTATAGAGTCTGGTTTCAGCCTGGTGCAGTAGATAAAACTCCGTTCGAGTTCTACAAAGAAGCAGGAAGCCGGAGAATCAACTTGAGGATCCAATTACACGCCTGTGCTCAAGCAGGACAGCGATCGCTATCTCCAAAGGTGTATCTTATGCCAGTGTCAATTTAAGAAAATAAACCAAAAACATGTCGCCGAAAGATTTAATGGGAGCTGGTCCGTTAAGAGTTGGCGCCTCCGGTCCGGCGAGTGTGAATACAGCCATTAGCACATCCATGGCAGGCTTCTGGCCATGACACCAATGACACGGAGAGCTGGGACGGGCCAGAACCCGATTCCCGAGAGGCACAGCCATGTGGAACAGCCAGGAGTCTAAAAATAGAACACGAGGAGCACATGATTTCCCTGTATTTACTGTTAACTGGCATCTATTTTTGGATCCGTGTGAGTGAGTGGGCCTGCAGTGGAGCCTGAACCAGCAGCGGAACCAGAACCGTGACCAGTACCATAGGAAAATGGCTAAGTAACCATGACGCCCAGCCTAGTGCAAAGTGCTCTAAGGCTAGCTGTTCGTTTTAATTTAGGTGGCCCAGAAAACCACTCAGCAGTGGCAAAGGGACTCAAAGAAAGGTCAGAGCAGTGGAGAAAGAGCCGCATCTGTAAAATAAGACCTTGGGGGAGGCATCCAGATGAAAAGGGCTGGAGGAGGGAACAGACCACAAACACATCAAGACAGTTTTATGACTGTTTTCCCTGTGGCTGTGCATGGGGTTTGAGTGCAGTTTGAAATTATTTTAGAGGTCACTGAAAGCATGAAACTAGTGGAACGCTCAGCAGTCACTCACAGCCAATGGGAGCGAAGCTAGTTTTCAGCCAATGGGAGTCGAGCCTGCTGGACTTCGAGTCACCTGACTGAATGAGCGATCTCACCTGTCAGCCGGGCCACCTGGCCTGATGTTCGTTATGACGACAGGCCGAGATTTGCTCCTATCCTCATGGGTGCCCCCTGCAACAGTCAGGACAAAGTTGTGACAGCATGCACCACAGCCTATTCTCCTTTGTCACTGTCGCTGGGCCGCAAGTTCAAACACCGGTGACATTATGTCTGTTCATGACACTCGACGCTGACCGAACACACGTAAGTGAAACCACAGCATGAGAGTAATACAGAAACAATATCAATAAATATGAAGTTACTATGTGAATTTAAATACGTAAAACACTTTCCGAAGCCTTGTTCTGCACAGCACTGGTGCAAAAGATTTCACTAAGAAAAGGACAGACAGAAAAACGATGGCTATAGTAAAAATTAAAACCGACGGAGACACGTTTGGGTTTCTGGATTCGTTAATGCCCGCTCGCAGAGACGGCGTTTACGCACCTCTGACGACGAAGCCGAACGTGTTTCCCTCCTTGTGCAGCGTGACCTCGACATTTTTAAACATCACCCCCGAGCCCTGCACAGCTGTGAGGAGACAGAAGGCATCTGGTTTTGGACTCAGAGGACGAACCGGTTCAACAGCCACCCAACAACAGCGACATACACACAGCCGACAGTACAGAGCCAGTATTATAGCCAGGCAGGCACTCACAGGCGGGGGGCAACTCGTACTCCACCTCCAGCACCACCCGTTCCCCCACGTTCTTCAGCAGACTGATGATCTCATCGTGGCGGAACTTCGCCAAATTGATCCCGTTGACCGATTTGATATAGTCGCCGATGCAGAGCTGGTCGCTCCTGTCGGTGGGACAGGAGATGGTGGGGGGGGGGGGGGATAGAGGTGATGGAGGAATGAGGATGACGGAGGAAGGGAGAAAAGACATGTTTTAATTGTACTCGGAGAAAATCCTTTATTCTCCTTGTTGCTACATTAGTCCGAGGGGAGAGAAAGACAGAAAACTCTGGGGATGAGAAAGTGCAGAACGTCCTGCTTGTTATGCTGGAAGCGGACAGCTGTAGCACAGGGCACCGATACGGACGGCTCAGAGACACACGCGCGCACACACACACGCGCACACACACGTGCAACGCATGCATACACATACTGAAACAGGCATCGCACAAAAACACACTCAGGCATACAGAAATGGGGCTGAATTTAGGGAGGTGGGGGCCCTGGGGTTACAATCATTGTTGGGGCTCCGCTTACAGCACCGCCCGCTTACTGTAACCACCAGAATGAAGTGGGGGCCTTTACAAAGTGGGACCGCAGGCCACACGCCCAGACCAGCCCCGGCGTTAATCCCCCCTCCGCCGTTTCCTCCTCACCGAGCGGCGATGCCTCCCTGCCGCAGGTTGGAGACACGGGGTCGGCCGTCCTTGTCCACGCCGCCGGACACGGTCAGGCCCAGTGTACAGCCCTCCTTCTTCAGCAGCTCCACGAGGCTGGTGCCCCTGAGCTCCTCTGTGGGGGAGGAGTGGGGAGGCAGCTGGGTTACAACATCCTGTTTATGGCTATGGGGGGGGCTGCCATTCATCTAAGAGTGTCTGACGGTCTGCACTGGCCCACCAGCCTCGCCTCTGATTCTAACTCAAGCAGATGCGGAAATACGGAAGAGCAGAGAATCAATGCGACATACGATACACACCTCACATCTGATGGCATTACAAGAAATGAATGCTTTCAGAGGGCAAGGACACAAATAATTCATCCTCTCTGGATTCTAAATGAATTTTTATCCACAAAGCTGAAAGGGATTGTTATTGCCTAACGAAATATGGAAATAATACAAATGAGAGTCTGACTTTCCTTTGTACTCTGGCTGATTCTCGTGGGCTTGTAAATCAAAGCTGTATATATTTTATTAGAATTTTTACATATTTTTAAGTAAATTGCATTCTTGTATTTATGCCATTAAAAAAACACAAATCACTGCAGGGTTAGCAAGATTCTAAACAGAACGATAAATCCAAATAAATTATACTTGAGATTAAATACATCATAAAGCTGTCTGCTACTTCCTGTTCTGTTCCTAATATTATGACATATAGATAGAGATCCCAAGTTTTTATGTGTCCAAACTGTCGCAGACTAATAAAACACACTGGAAAAACAGAAAGGAAGGTGCCCGCTGCCCCAGGCAAAGCAGAACGTGACCAGAAAGGGTCCCGAAAGGCCACCGACGTGCCACCACCTCCGGCATCCATGGGCCAGCCTCACAAACCACAAATGACCTTCAGCTTCAGTTCAAATCCAAGAAATATTTTGGCTCAGGGGACAAGTCATTCGCTACAGTGATTACACTAAGCAGAAGTGTTTAATTGGATTAGATGAAGACATGGTCACAGTACGCACACCAGGTTCCATAATGGCTGTAAAAACACTCATCTGAGCCCACACATTGGGGGTGCAATGTGAGGGGATGATTACAGACCACTCTGAAAGGGTTCGATGGGTTTAATCAGCTCTGCGGCTTGATCACAATCTACTGTGATGGAAGTTTGAAGGACGTTCAGCAGCGTTTCCCAATCCGGCCCTCGGGGAATCCCAGACAGTCCATGTTTTTGCTCCCTCCCAGTTCTCTGCCAGACCGTGCCCATTTCTGCCCGGGAAATGGGGAGGAGCAACTGTCTGGGGATCCCCCGAGGACCGGGGTGGGAAATGCGGACTTAGAGACATCAGCAGCGAGCTCACACACTAGTGGGGTAGGGGATACTTTCCCCTGGTAGATATGGCATGACTGACCATTAGCAACAAAGGACCAGTAACAGAATGGGATTAGAAACTTAAGGAACAATGGAAACTAAAGACACACAAGACTGTAGTCTGTGACTCTGGTCTATTCCTTAGGGAAAGGAGGCTCTTAGAATCAAAATGTCAAGGCACAAAGACAGATAACAGTCAGACAGCTTTACCTGGGATGCTCTGCCTTCGCAGGGACAATGATCCGTCCACCTGTCTGTGGGAGGACTTTGAGTACGGCCCCTCATCTGGGAACGAAAAGCAGCCATACTGTGACAGACCTCCGCACACCTCGGACGCCAAACCACGTCCGCCAGCTAAGAGCCACTGTGCAGAAATCAGAAATCGCCGTCTGATTTTCTGCATGTTTGCATATTTCACACAGCGAGATCAGGCCTTAAAATAACACTGAATATTAATCACATCAAGGGGAATTCTGAGTAGGCAAACACGCAGACACAAAATACAAATAGACAAATTATTTGTATGCCATGTGTTTGTTATATTAACAAGCATCCAATAACCCAGTATGAAAAGATAATCAGTCCTTCGCTCTCAATATCTAGCCGCACCTCCTTTAGTAATGATTGTTGAGAGCCTCCTGGAGGTATTGAACAGACCCTCACAGAGCTGCAGAAGAGTTATGGTCCAATCCTTCAAACACACACACACACACACACACACACACACACAGCTCATTTCAGGTCTTATCATAAACCATCAGTGAGGTTTAGATCTTTGATTGGACCATTCCAAACATTTTATTTCCTTGTTCTTCCAAGACATTGATGAAGAGGTTCTCCTCCGTGGAGGTTGAGAATTAATTCTGACTCTGGAACCTGATGAGCAATGCGCTTCAAATGCAAATAAACTTAAGTAACCATAACGACTCGATATTTGCCTGGAAACCACAGATTCCCACGATAGTTGCCATAATAGGTTGGATGACACCTGCAGGCCTCTGATACCTGCTGGGATGACCGGATGCAAGGAGGACCAATTACGGGGCCCGAGCTGAGCTCTGTAACACTACCACGTTCCAAATGGGGCTGGTGTTCTCCAGAACAAGGTCAATAAATTGACATCTGTGCAAGACTGGGGTCCATTTTCGATGCAGCAATTTTGCAGGCGTGCAACGTTTTCTCAGATTAAGTAGGCGGAGGGAAGGTAGAGAGATCACAGCTCCTCAGAAGGTCCATAGGCTATGCACATATTCAAAGGCCACCTGAACTGGTCAGCCATCACTAATGACTAATGGCCTTTTCTTTCCTTTTATCCCCTCACTTTTTAGGTCACCCATCTCCAGGAGAATTAGTCAATTACCCAACAGAAGATGGTATTATACACAATCAAAAGAGGGATCAGCAGGGACACAAATGCAGCCCAGCCTTCACATCTTAGAAATACATCATTTCCTTTCATTAGGAAGAGCTCTTCATAAATGTCCAAAACACAGCACTCTCTGCATCGATGACGCAAAACTCGATTTCCTTGTGAATCAGGCATGATAAACCGGTCAGTTTCCAGGGGCAACAAGGTAATATCTCAGGCCCCCCATTTCCTTGGCTTTATTGTTCACATCTATTGATCTCCAGGAGCCTTTCTACTGGGAAAAGCTCTGCTTTAACAGCTGGGCCCCAGCGATGCGCTCCGTCCGTGTCCAGCATCAACAGACGAGCAAGCCATGCGGCGAGTAACACGATATATGACACGGGAAACGCAGGCAAGACGTGCAGCTTGTGTGACTCTCAAGAGGAAGACGCAGGTCTAAGTCAGTGGTCCTCAAAGGGGCTCAGGGAAGGCTCCAGATTCTGCCAATAAGGAGCTTGACAAGAAGCTCATAATTACATTATTCATTGGGCACAGGAACACAATTAATATGCGGCATATCTATGTCATGCACAGTCTGCATAATGAAAAAAAGAAATGACTAGGCTGAAAATGAACACAGTGATGCATGACCTATAAAATCCACGGTCTACATACAGTAACAGCAGAGCAACCCAGCACAAAGCCAATGCATGTAATGAGAACCGTAGGGGGACCCTGGAGACCATGGTACATCCGTGTAAAAACCACGGACATAAGCCCTTTTGAAGCAGCAGCGAGACCTGCCTGGAATTAAGGCAGGAACAAAAGCCAGCTTCAGCCTACTGGGAAATCTGCAGACCAATCACAGGGCTGCATGAATCAGGCAGTGCGGTAAAGTGGCCAATATAGTTGACATGGGTGGTTTGATGGCATGGCAGCGTCAAGATCAGGTATGGATCGTCCAATCAGAAAGCAGCATGAGAGACAATCACCAGACCTGGGAGTCTCATGTAAAGAAACTGGCATCACAAGGGATGCTTCAGTGAAACATTACATTAACACTACTGGCCTAGATCTACACTTAGCTTGTTGTCGCTGTTCAATGGAAAACACACATCCGAAAAAATCCATTATTTCAGGAGTATGAAAAAAAATCAAATTTTCCTAAGAAACTACTTCATAAAATAAACCTAAAAGGATGTAATGAAGCACCCTTAACACATTGTCTTTATATAGCAATTAGTGGACAGGTTAATGTTTTAAATAGATTTTGCGCGGATTATTGTCAGCGAGGCAAATATAGTCGTCACAGAAAGTCTTGGGACGCTTGCTTAATTCCGTAACAATGCTGCAAATTTATTGATTACGTAACAAAAGTTCTTTGACAAGCAACGTTTAAAATATCTGCAATTTCTCTTTCGCAGACATTTTCTTTTTATTAAGCATTATCATTTTTATGACTGACTCGTTCAGTATCTTGCCATTTTGCTATCAATTGCAGTTGTAGTCACTGGCTCCCAAAGGGATACTGAACAAAAGGATTTTATGTTATAGCAAAGGTGTTACTAATGAAAATGCACCCAATGAGGCTGCTTGTCAATGAACTTTTAAAATTTAGAACAGCTCTTTTAGAGCTAAAATTTAAGAATGTTTTACTTAAAACTACCGATTGCTTCTAATGGGATTTTTTTAAACAAAAGAATGTTAATGATTTTGTTATATGACCAATAAATTTGGATCCCAAGACTTTCAGTGAGCACTGGAAATCAGAGTCAATAAGATACTCTTGCTAATTTGCTAAACTAATTCACAATTAACAGTGATGTTAGCCAGCTATTTAGCTATCAATGTTAAGTTAAAATTACTGACATAACGCAATCCACAAAATGACTACGATGAATACAAATGTTAACTGGTATATAATTACTAGTTAAACAGATGACATCATAAAACACCCTTTCATTGGTTAATTAGATGTCAAATGTCATCAGTAGACAGGAGAATGGATGTATACCATCTACAGTAAAAAAAATCACATTGTCAACAAAGGGGATGTTTTCATTGGACTCACCGACGATACGATATCAATACGATATACGACAGGGGTCTCAAACTCCAGTCCTGGGGGGCCGGAGCCCAGTGTAGCTTAGTACTTTCCCTGTTTCACCACAAGTGATTCAGCTCAAGAGCTGTGTGGTAATTAGCACAAGGAGCTGAATCAGGTGTGTTAAATGAGGGGAAACCCAAAAATGTGTAGGGTTCCGGCCCCCCAGGACTGGAGTTTGAGACCCCTGACATACGATATCAATAGCGACGATGCCGATATTTTGATAAATAAAAAGGATGAAAATGGTGGAAGAGTGACTAAGAAAACAAATGAAAGGATCTCTGTATAAATGGGACCTGGGCAGACAGACATCAGACGTTGCCGGGCGGAGAACACCATCCAGAGCTAAAGAGGAGAGAACCAGAGCGTGAAGAACAAATGGGAACCTGAGCTCGCTAAAGGGATGTAGGAAGAATCCTGATGCTGCTGCAAACAGGTAGAACCCCAACGGCCCGGCGCGCTAACAGAGAGCGGTATCGACGTCGGCCATCTTGGATGCTTCTGAGGTTCTGCTCTCACCCATCCTGATTCGACCACTTAGCAACATGGTAAGCTCAGGTAAGCTCTCCGCCTCAGTCCCATCGGCCCTGCGCCCATACACAGCATCTCTGGGTTTCATGGTCTCCTCCTAGCTTCACATATTTCTGTTCTGCTGCTAACGTTCAGGTGTATCTTGCTTGTTCCCTGCTCTGGCACTGCATTCTCTCCCATATTAGTGTGCCTTGCTGGCATCTCACCACAAATTGAAAATCATCACTTCAGACTGTCAAAGACAAGGCACTCGGTACCCAATCTGAGGCTACAGTCTGCAGAAGACTTATCAGACACCAACCAAACCCTTAACCTTCTCCCTCTTCTGCAGGACCCGGACATACGTTACCATGCCTTCAAAACTGTGTACTGAATGGCTTATTTTTGTCGGTTTTCAGTTTGACCTCACTGGCTTCACAGCGCTGTACCTTAGCAATTTATACATACTGTACATCGCTGGGTCTTTGCATTCTGTTTAACGCAGTCACTGCTGCAAACACTAACGATATTGTCAAACAAACAGACGAAATGTGAGACTGCGTCTTCACGTCCAGCAACGAGTCGCATTACCTCACAAGCTGATCTAGTGCCACCCTGGTCCAATTCAGCTCAGAACCTGGCATTTGCCAATAGCTCTCAATGAGACATTTCTATGTATAAAATATTGACAAGTCGAATGACATCAAGCCTGGCACTGAATGCAAATATGAACAAACTATCTAGCGCTTTGAGTTCTCTGCATCTAGCTGCTTTCATTATTTTTAAAAATTATTCTGTATATATTAAACAGCCATACCTCTTTTAAAATTTTTTAAATACACACTTTATTGATGACACTTCACGGAATGTAATGGTTTTGTACATACGAAACAATTCAAAGCTCGTGTAGGATGTCCTCGGTTGGGAGGAGTTAGGTAGCAAGCCAACTCACTCTGTTCATCTGGTTTTGGTGCCAAATCATTAGAATGAGCTCAGTTTTTTCCTGCCCCCAGTGACACCCCCCCCCATACCCTGGTGTCTGACCCTCCCAGTGCCCAATGGTTGTTTGGTTCTTGTGCATGATTTTACCCTCCCTTCTTATGTCCAAATGTCGGTCTTTTGTTCTGATATTCTCATCCTCCTGCTGCTTTTGTTACACCTGTTCTTCCTCCCAGCCTGATGTCATCTGGCTTGCTTCACCGTCCCAGCTGGGGTGAGCCTTAAACCTGGCTACCATTTTCCTAATACACTTCACAGTTCCCCAGACACGTGTGTCCAAGCACATAAACGATCGGCACACAGTATTTGCACGCACACGCC